CATTCTGTCACCAAAGTGACCTCAGTAGTCACATTCTGTCACCAAAGTGACCTCAGTAGTCACATTCTCTCACCAAAGTGACCTCAGTAGATCCATTCTGTCACCAAAGTGACCTCAGTAGATCCATTCTGTCACCATAGTGACCTCAGTAGATCCATTCTGTCACCAAAGTGACCTCAGTAGATCCATTCTGTCACCAAAGTGACCTCAGTAGTTACATTCTGTCACCAAAGTAACCTCAGTAGTTACATTCTGTCACCAAAGTGACTCATTCAGTTTCTTCCAAGATTGACTGCAAGGATGCAGATAATGTAGAGTAAATCCTGGAATTTGAAAATACTGTTTTCCAGGTTTGAAAAGGTTTTGGGAAATAGTTTAATGTAGTTCAATGAATATCAGATTCAAACATGGCCTGTGTATATATTTTTAATTCACACAATATTAAGGCAGATGTACTGTCCCTTATGTATCACTACAGCTTTTTGACACCACACATTAAACAACATTTGACAAAAAGGGCGGTGGTAAAAGGTTTAAAAAACATTATTTGAGAAGTTTCAGTGCCTGAATTGTTCTAATAAGTGCAAGTGAAATCCTGCCTTGGGAACAGTGTTTAATGGGAGTGTCTGCCCTCTGCTGGCTGATTATTGTCACTTATGTTACGAGATTCCAGCAGTTTATGCAGAAAACGGGAACCCTCTTTTAATGATGCACAAATCATTTTAAAGCAGGCAACAATAAAGAGCTTATTTCACTTTGTGTGTGTTCTCACTGTTGCAGGTTGTGTTGATCCAAGATAACGACGGCCAAGACTCCAGCGAACTCAGCTTGCTGAGCTCAGCTGTTCACCGGCCAGGAAATAAACATGGCTTCAGCAGGCTTGCCTCCATATGGCTCAGTGCACGAGCTCCTCACTGCAATATTTGATTTGTCAGCAGAGAATGGATGTGCTCCGAATAGAAATATTGTCCCGGTGCTTCTCTGCCAAAGCAGTCAGTCATCCGTGTAGTTCACCGTGTGTGGCCTGGTTCAGACATCCCAAAAGCATCTTATTGCCGACCTGCATCCTCCGCAGAGAGGGCACTAACACAGGAGATCAATCTCTACTGTGAGAGAACTTGTTTGTGCGCAATATTGTAAATTTAACTGGAAGATGTACCGTATGTCAAATGGACCGAGTCTCAGAGCTAAGATGCTTTTGGGAGCCTGTCTAGACAGGGATCAATGTACAGCAGGATCTTAATGGAATGGTGCACCGCATTAGTTCCTAGGAGGATTTGTTTGTCTTCTCCCACTGGCTATTTGTTGGTACCTGCAAAAGTAGAAGAAGCAGCATGAGGAAAATTAAGGAAAAATAGCACCATAATGTCAAAATGCATAACAAAACAAAAGTATTATCAGTAGAATGTACTAAAGGTAAGGTACTCATTGTGCTAAATGGCTCGATGTATAGATGTATTCATATGCAAGCAGAATACTACTTTCCATACTGCAGGGTAATATAATCTCCAGAAAATACATCATATTTTGTGGTCTAATCACATGAAATCTATGTGAATGTGAATCTGTAAAGCAACTACAGCTCTTAAAAATGTAGTGGAGTAAAAAGTACAATATTTCCTTCTGACATTTCCTTCTGAAAAGTAAGTAGCAGGAATGTTGATGCTCGAGCAAAGTACACCTTGTACAAAGGACACCTTGTACACCTTGTACAAAGTCAAAACCCAAAGATGTACTTTCAAACATTGAGCAAGGAGCACATTATTCAAAGTAATCACAGACTACAGTCATTATTGATGGATTATAAACTGATCTTTTAGGATTTAAGTGGAGTTTTTATTCCACACTGTTGTTAAAACTGGTGCAAAGAATGTCTACATGTAAATATTTAAACACATTCTTCCTTGTGGCTGTGACTCTATTCATCACTTATCTCTTGTTCACAATGCTGTCGTAAACCTGCTGAACGACTCTATTCAGGTCTTATCTGATCTGAAAGTAATGATTTTAAACGCCCACAAAACTGGTTTAAACCATTTCATTTGTTTCCCCACGAGTGCAGGTATTTCTCTTTCTTCTTCCTTTTTGTTTATGTCCTTGTGTCTGCTCACTCGTTGTGTTGTACAAACAACTCAGTCAGCTGCTCCTCCAGTGCTATGATCCTCAGCCCGATGTATCCGGACACCAACAGGAGCAGCACCATCCTGCAAGCACACAGTGTACAATGACCAACAATGCCTTGGATTTTACAGTCCCTCACTACAATGCACTTTGTGCAGAGTGAATCAAAAACCGAGCAGACGGTCTAAGATGGGTACATACAGTAACTTCCTGACAATAAGATACCATTAAATTGTATCTGTGCTGAGCCTGAGGGACCATTGTGTGATAATATTTCTAAAACTATATCTTTCAGCCAATCCAGAAAGTCAACATACCAAAATGTGCCTCTGCTCATATGCAAAGTTGCATAAAATGTGCACAGTATGTGGGATCTGCAAAGTATTCTACACAAAGCAGGAGATGTTTTTAGTAGTCTTTGAAAGTCCTAGCTCAAGGGGAAAAAAACTGTCTCTTATTCCTACGCGGTCAACTTCCAACCTTCTTCCATTAACAGGTCTTGAATGCACTTTCTTTACACAGAATGAGCAAAGGTGGGGGCCGATGGCCAATGTTACAGACATTTTGGTCTCAGACTGATAGGAACAACAATCAAAAACAAACGGCCAGCAACCAAAACAAGCAGCCTGACAGTTATCTTAGGAGCAGGCAAGGGAGAATTCTTCTTTTGCACAACAGAGACACGGTGAAGTTCAACAAAGTTCAGAGCAAAATTACTTATGCATGAATACAATATACTGAGTAGAAATATATACTAAGTAAGTAGAAATATATACGTAACAAATTACAATTACACTGTGCACGCAGCAGCAGAGAGAGGCAGAGTGGTGGAAGAAGTATTCAGATTCTTCACTTCAGTAAAAGTTGCAAAGTCAAAACATAAAAGTACTTCATCACAACTAAAAGCCTGCATTCAAAGTTTTCCTTCAAAGTACAGAAATATTATCAGCTAAATTTATGAAGTATTAAAAGCGACACTATGCTAGTGTTGTATTATAATTAAGTCAAAATTGTACTCATGTACAGTACTTGAGTACATGTACTTAACTGTGTGAAACAATGATACTCACAGCATAATGTAGAGGTAGAAGAGAGCGCTGACACTCCTCAATTCTCTGAGAACGAAGAGCGGTGCGACCCTCTCAGTGAGCCTCCAAATCCAGGACACAGCTGGTTAAAAGAAAAATCTGCTTGTGATTCTTTAACGGCTCCTTCCTCTATGCCTTATGGGTAACTTGACTATGCATTACAGTTAGCATGTATATTTGTGACCTCTTACACACACCTCTGTTGTCTTCGTCCGTTAAGCTGTTCAGCTGTCTTGTAGGAGCTGGAAAGGCATAAATACACATATTGCATTCAGTACAGAACCTTTTCAACATTATTATCCTAAATAGACAAATGCAATTTTAAATTTAAATTAAAAACGCTGAAATTGCCAAAGAAGACAGGATTAACCAATGACGATTACTCCATTCACATTTCTCTCCGTATGTCCCATCTGTTTCTCACCTTCACTGGACTTCTGAGGAAAGCTGTTGTCAAGATTGATGCTGTCCTCTCTGCTGAGATCATGATTGGTGCAGTCGTCCAAACTCGAATAACTGGAGGCCTGGCAGACAAGGACAGAGACGCTGAAAGTTAAAGACTGTGCTGTCGTGCATCATGCACTCACATTCAACTCAACTCAACTATAACCTTGAATCCCTGAAATTCTCAGTTTGGTTGAGTTAGATGAGCAGCAGACGTACCACTTCGGGATCAGCTTCGTTCTCTGCAGAGGAGAGATGAGGGCTGCTGTTGACGCTCTTCCCCTGTTTCAGACGAATATAGAAACACGAGTGAGACACGAGTTTAAACTGATGCGCATTTGTGCATGCAGATCAGTGGAGTGCCTATACCTGTACACGGGAACAGACAGTTTGGAGGAGTTTGTGACACATCTCACGGTGCCTCAAAGACACAAACGTGTGCTAAAAAGAGAAAAGAGAGGCAGAGGTTAATTATAGGGCAAGACAATCTATGTGTACGCTCAATGTTAAAGTTAAGATGACGTCTTGGCTTCACAAGCTGCCAGTTTCGCTGCATAAACTTTGAATAATAATTTCCCTGGTTTTTAAATTCAGTTTCCATCTTTCCTTGTATTGATTGGTAGTTAACAATAGAACCACTGGACGCATTTGAGTCGAGCTGAATTAATTTGTAATTGATTATTATTAATAATTACTTTATAAACTTGATTAATAAAGACACTACTGCTACTACATTTAATGTTTGATTTAATAGGGACATAGTATTGCCCACTGCCACAAATCACAGCAGTTATAGTCTTAGCTAGTTTGGACTGCTCCAATGTACAAATACACATATTACAGCAAAATACATACAAACCAATACAGAACATGAATAAATGATCTATTTTCAGTTCTGTGGTTAAAGAGTTCACCAACAGAGAAACATTAACAGGAGGGTTTACAATTACTCCCCACAGATGTGTTAGATAATTATATTGTTCATCTGTAATGCAAAGATGCAGTCGAGTGAGTCAATGTGTATATTTATAGAGCTCAAAAGAAATCAGAGAGACTGTAACTTTAAATAATAAAATAAATATATCTCTAAAGTGTGTCTTCTGACCTTCTCTCCATCAGCAGTTTGAATAGACAACATGGATAAAGTAGAGTTATGTTTCTTCACCCCCATGATGCTGGACACAGGAATCACCACCTGGAATATGTGGACAAAATACTTTGATTCTTGTAGCCTTCACCGCCTTAAAGAGGACATTACAGTCATATTTCACTTGTCCTCGGTGTGACCTGAAACATGGATGACCAAGGTAAAGAACCACCAGCTTGTTATTTTATTTTCTATAAGGGATCCTTAAATAATTTCCCTCTGTGAAGTCCTTGATTTTAGGACAAAAAGCCCAAATACTGGAGTTGAAAGTGAATTCCCAGGATATCTAATGTTCATGTTGACGTCTCCTTTTACCTCTTCTGGGACGTGTATGCTTAAAAGTCTGCTCTGCCAAATTGCACTGTACCTACACAATTAAACATATTGTTTTAAATAGCCTGACATGTGAGCGAACCCAAGTAGTGCCACCACTGCTGTGACATTTCAGTGTTAAATGATTTCACCGGTGTGACTAATGCTTCACCTTATTGTATCTGAGTTTGTTACCTTGGTCTCTTTGAGCAGCACTGACGAGTAGAAACCCACATAGTTCTCTGAGACAAAGAGTTTTCCGTGATACAATACCTCCTTCTGCAAGGCACAGGTAAATGCTACAATAGAGACAAAGACACACACACACACACACACACACACACACATATATATATCAATTATTAGGCAGCACTTAATCAAACAGCAGGGACAAAGTGAGAAAAGGTCACAACGTGATGTCATTTCCATAATCAATATCACGGAATAAGTAACAGTGACTCTTAACTCACTGTGTGTGAGGTTCTCCCCCACAGGAATCTTTTGGAACAGTTTGTGGAAGGTTTTGCTGTGCTTTAGGAAGCTCTGTAGGGGGGAAAATGGTATAAAACAATACTCAGTATGTATCTGGGATTTTTTTTCTTAGATACGGAACAGGTTTGGTGTTCGTTTTCTGAAATAATTGACTTTAAAATAATGTTTTTTGGCCACTTGGGGGCAGCAGAAGTTGTGAACACAATACTGAGATATCATCCCCTTTGAAGTTGATATGGGGAACTTGTGCAAACAATTGCTAACTTACACGTCATCTAGCAACATTATTATTCATTTCATGTTTCAGTCCACCTGATGAATGTAAGTCCAATATTCACCCTGTTTACGAGAGGTCTTCATGCTGTCACATTGTTTTCACATTGTCATTTGATGCATTGCTAGTATTAAAAATACAGGTTATAGCCACTTTAATTCTCCTTGTGCTGCAAAGATAAAACATTTATGTTGTAAGGAACAGGAAGTGGCAGTCTTACATTTTTATGGACGAGCCCATCTGAACGCTCAATGTTCTCCTCCGTTATGGTCTGCTGCCTGAGGAGACTAAAGATACCACATCAGTACTTTGTCTGGATACAACATTTAATTGTTTTTCTCAATCCAATTGTAGTGTTGAAGGTAGAGTGTACCTGGGGGACGTGCTGGAGTTGAAGCTGTGATGTAGCTCCTGGAGCTCTAGTCGGGCATCGTCCAGACTTTCACATTGTCTGGATTTCTTACTGCTAAACATGCTGCTGCCTCTTCTTCCTCCAAGGACTTCAACTCCATCCAGACAGCTGTCCAAAGAACATAAAGTAAACAACAACATAAAGTAAAAAAAA